TGTAATATTTTTAGCATAAAAACTGTTTTGCAGAATTATGAAGCTTCCGGTTTATGGTTTTTATTAATATTAAATTTTATTATGGATGAGAGGATAACCATAAGAAGCCCTTTAATTGATGTTATCGCTTTTACTGAAATATATTGTCTGGTCTTTTGATAGTTTTGAAAGTTATGATACATAATTTGGTTTATGTACTTAATTAGAATGTAAAACAACATAAATTTTTAAAAATATATTGCATTTCCTCATTAACACATACTCCATATAAAATTTAATAATATATATACGCATTCATTGTGAAAGATTTATTTTTAGTAAAGCTAATAATAGATATGGTATAAAAAATTGGTATAAAACAGATACTTATTGTATCGATATCAACACAAATTAAACATAATAGGTTCTAACTACGTCATAGAGAAAGTGCAATGCAAGAGTCAAAGTTTTGAGCATAAGATACACAGTAACATGATCAAAAGATATTAAGTTCATATAGGAGGAAATACGAAAATTATATTAGTAGTTAGTTTACGTCTCGAAATAAAAGCCGCACTCCATACCTTTAGAAAGTATAAAACAGTTTGCGTTATAACAACAACCGTATCATAAACTCATGCAGGTATAAAATATGCCCTAAGAGATCCCATATGCAACAAAGAAGAACATAGCAAACAGTATTGTGGAATGGAGTCGAAAAGGACTCGAGGAAAAGATTAGAAGTTATATATGAAAATAATGAGTGACAGTAGTTACAGTAAGTATAAAACAATACATTGGTGATATAAAAAGTATCCATTGTTTTTAGGACATTTTTGAGCAAACATTTTCTTTAATTAAAATAAATTTAAATAAAGTTCATATTAGCTATTATTTTGCCACTTTTCAGGGTGCTTCACAATACTATCAGTGTTGAACTTCTGTGGTTATCGGTGAAAAACCTGACCAAGTTTTTGGCCAACGGCTCTTTAGTCGATAAATTTTTTACCATTAAGTAGATAAAGACATAAAAACAGTAGCAAAATGTAGACTATACTATTTGAAGTGAAAGTAGGAGTGAAAGCAGAGATTAAAGTAGAAAAAGTTTGGTAGAACTAAAACTAGACATTGAAGTAGAAGTAAGAGTAGAAGTAGAAATTGAAAAAGACGTACAGAAATTAAAACAAGATGTGACGTAAAAATAGATGGAAATAGTGATTTTTACCGAAATTGAATGGATCTAACAATTCTTACAGTTCTAAAACTAAAACTTTGATTTTGGTGCATAAAATACTATTTATTGAAAGACATTTCTGCGGGTGTGTGTAGACATTTTTTGATCCCCAGTCTCGATAAAATAAACTATTTATTGTTCATTTAAGGTAAAAATGTTTATAGAAAACTGTATATCATCGGTTAATCAACAATTTAATATATTTTTCAGTTTTTCGTGTGTGTGTAAGCTTGCTAGAGCAAGCGTTCCTTTCCTCATCCGATGCTAGAATGTCCTCAACAGCTGACATTTTGTCATTTATTCGAAAAGCGGAGTGCAATCTGTTCAGTTAGAGTTGGTAAGTAATAGTATAACAGAGCAAACATGGTTCTATTCTATTGAATAGATTAATCTTATTAAATATATTATTTGACCGCCGAAGTTGGTTTTTTTATTTGATTTTACATTTAACAATCAAATAATATTAATTTTTTCATATTTTTTCCATTTCAACTACTGCTTAAAAATACTAAATATTTCAATATATACAATTATACAATAACTTTGTATTAAATTATATATCCCAGTGTAGCTTCTCACACTAAACCTATATACCATATTAAGTTAAGAGCATATGTGTCAATAGATTAATGAATTTAAGCCTGGCTATTAACATTAAATATTAAAAACCTCTATTTAAACAGATATTTTACTACAATGCATTGCACAAAAAATAATATTATATCATAAATGTGCTTTTGTACTCACACAAAAGCCAAATATTTAAATTGATATTTCAGAATTTAATCCGAATTTTTTAGCATTTTGTTATTTTCATTTTAAAATTATTAAAATGATTAAATATTGAAAATATATCATAAATATTTAAGCACAGTACCACTCATGAATTCCGTACTCAACACCCACAATCAAGTCAATTAGGCAATAAAAACTTTGTGCCAAAGCATGTACGGGTTGAGGTCAGAGCAAAAAAAATGTTAATAGAAATAAAAATTGAGACAGAAAACAACTCGAATATTTGTTAAAATTTTAACAAATCCACTAAAAAAAATTTCAAATTTTAAATTTCAAATATAAAATTTTGAGTATGAAACACGTGCAGCGTGAAAATGTGTTTGGCTACAATCAGTTGGGAGCAAAAAATTGTTGTAATAGTTGTGTCAATAGTTGACAACACTTGACACAAAAATCACGAAAAAATTTTTTATAAATGGAAATGAATACAATACATAATACGAGTATATGTATGTATGTACGTACATATTTGCAGAGAAAAAAAAAAAACTTTTGAAAGGATTAATGTTAAATAATTCAAATCCTATGATGATTTATAGCAAATTAAATATATTTTGGTGATATATTGTTTTTCCAAATGGAAATATTCAACAATTCGCAATTTTGATTTTATTTTTAAATTTTAAATGAAAATAAAAAAAAACCGAACATAGAAATATTGTTTAAAAAATCATTTTTCACATCAATTTTTTCAATAAATAAAATAAACAATGAAGCACATAATCTATAGAAATGAAAATGTGGCCTTTAAAAATATTAAAGTAGTTAAGAAAATAACTAATGAAATATTATGAAAAACATCTATATTCAATTAATTTTTTTTTTATACAAGGACAACAAAGTTTATAATTATAAGTTATATGCAACCAATGTATCACACAGTGATTAATACTTGGCATATATGTATTCTCAAAACAAATTCAAGATACTATGAATTAAGGATTTAGATTAAAATCAATAATAAATAAAAAAAAAATTACTCCTCCGACAACAATTTATATTTTATTGCATATTTTTAAGAACGAGAAAACTTATTTGTAAAATATTAATTTAATTTTATTGCATATTTTTAGGGACAACAAAAATTGAAAATTCTATTGCTACTCATAAGTAACATTTGTTAGTTTATTCAAATGATTAGTATAGCATATTAAAAATAATTAAATCTAAATT